AATTATTTTCCAGACTTCTGTTTCTTTCATCTGCAACATCAATTAAGAAGAAACCAAAATTATATATCAAAAAACCCCAAAGATTCTACAGTTTTCAACTTACATATTTATTTATAACAAATTGAGAATTGCCACTTCATCCTTTGAATCTCTATTTCTTATTTTCTTTTGTGTCCTGAAAAGGTCTAAATATTGATGCAGAGAAAGACGAGGGGAAATAACTGTTTCCACCATCCAAAGAACTACAACTGCTGATGCAGCCAGGTGCCATTTCCTCACACAAAGTAGACCTGAATTCCTCAACAACTAGAACTCCATTAATTAAAAAAAAAAAAAAAAAAAAATCCTTTTGGCATCCTAGTTTCACACAGAGACGTCGTTATAACCCCCCTCCTCAACACTCTCCCCAAAAGATCAACAAAAGCACTCTGAAAGTAGTCTGTTAACAAGGATGCATATAAACCTGAAGAGAAGGGATCTAAACCCCTTCACACCCGTGCGCAGTGATGCACAGACAGAAGTGGTGGCAGCTGCATCCCAGCAACAACTGTGCTTTTGTTATGTATTTAACTGCACAGCAGCTGTACAGGGAATTCAACTACTAGAGAGCATGGGGCATGGTGTAAAAGTCACACACTTTCAATGAAACCAAAGTGCTGCTGCCCACAACCGGCCAAGGAAAACCACGTCTCTGCCGGGTCCTCAGCTCCGCTCAGGATGTCGAGGCCCAGACAGAGAAGCACATTGTGCACCTTATTTACAGAGCACCCGCAGAAAAATCACACCATACGCCTACACATTTGCAAGCCGGATGCCTCTGCTGAACCCAAACAGACCAAACCCTCTGAACAGAGGGAGCCAGAGAGCCGATTAAATAAAGTTTACATCCTTCCTGGCACATGTAACATACTAGTGCTGTTCTAGAGTACGCCAACACTTAATTTATCACAAGCCAACTGATGCGCTGAGTTAAGTAAAGAGTGCAGGCAAAAGAAGAGGTTAAAGTGTGAGTTATTTACCAGGCTGTCACACTGCCAGTGGAACCCCTGTAGCAGATGACTGCACCTTCACATTACTATTTTCTCTTCATGATTATGCAGATACTAACTCTGTGAAAGTAACTACACATACATTTTACATTTTTTCCCCTAAAAAAAAGTAGTTTTAAATATTTTTGCAACAGGTGTTTGGTGAATCTAAGTTTTTATCATTTTATTACTACTATTTTAAAATGTAATGTTACATGGATAACTTTTTGTTTGGGCTCAGGATTCAGTAATACGGCAAGTTTTAAAACCAACTTCAGAGAAGGAAGGAAAACCCTTGTGATCTACCAGAAGTGTCCTTCAAAACATTTAAACACCTACTTGGAAAAAATCAAACAAGTCACATTCACTTTGAGACTTGCCTGCCACACCAATGAGACCACTCCAAACAACTTCAAAAGATGCAGCCTCTTTGGAGTGATGCCTTGTTTAGTGTTTTGCTACTTCTGCCCCAACAACCTCCAACACTCAAAGGGCTCAAAAAACATATATAGGAAACTTGTATTTTAGTGTAACAGATTAAGACATTTATTCTAAAAACACATTTTTTCTAAAAACTTCTCATCAAGAGAAACAAACAAACATCACTCAACTGCAGCTTTGCTCAGCCTCAGCAGTAGCCATCAAATGCCAGCAGGCACTAGGTAAAACTAGATACTTGCATTAGTAAACAAAGGGAATAAAGCATTATTCCTTCAGAACTGGAACTACTTAATCCTTTCTAATCCTTCCTTTGCCTAGAAAATTAGGGGAATAATTTTATGTTGTGGTTTAACCCCAGCCAGCAACTAAGCACCACCCAGCCGCTCGCTCACTTCCCCCCCACCCAGTGGGATAGAGGAGAGAATCAGGAAAAAAAAAAAAAAAAGTTAAAAAAAGGTAAAACTCATGGGTTGAGATAGGAACAGTTTAATAGAACAGAAAGGAAGAAAATAATAATGATAATAATAACAATAACAAAATGAAAACACTAATAAAAGGGTTGGAATATACAAAACAAGTGATGCACAATGCAACTGCTCACCATTAGTCAACAGATGCCCGGTCAGTTCTCAAGCAGCGATCCCCCCCGCAGGCAAACTCCCCCCAGTTTATATACTGGGTATGATGTCACATGGTATGGAATACCCCTTTGGCCACTTTGGGTCAGCTGCCCTGGCTGTGCCCTTCTAGTCTTCTTGCTGGCTGGGGATGAGAAGCTGAAAAATCCTTGACTTGGTCTAAACACTACTTGGCAACAACTGAAAACATCAGTGTGTTATCAACATTCTTCTCATACTGAATCCAAGACATAACACTATACCAGCTACTAGAAAGAAAATTAACTCTATCCCAGCCAAAACCAGGACATTTTATTTCTGTATGAAATCAGGAAACCCTACACTCTGGGGCCCACCATACTGTAAATTATATTTATTTACTCTAGGTCAGTGAAACTGCAGCAACCTTCCCCCATACTCTCAACGCCCCTCAGCACTGACTGCTAGAAAGTCAGTTTTCAGAGTCATGTGCCAGGTAAAGGCTTTTTCAGAAAATGTGTGGAAAAACAGTGGCATTAAGTGGTTTGTTGGATTACTGACAAACATACCTAAAAGCAATCCCAGAGAGCACAGCAGGAGCTCAGTTCCTATTCAAAAAGAGGCATCAAACAAATGTCTTGGTATTTATCTAACAAGTTCACCTGAAATTCATTGGTAGACCAGTACATTTTCAGATTAACAGTTCTACAACAAAATAGCATTCATGTATAGCCAATCTTCAATTACAAATGCAGTATACAGAGCATTTGCTACGTAACCAGAAGAAGAAAGTAATATAATAGTTTCTGAAGTCTAAAAACATATTGAAAAACATTTTTTACACCACTGAAATAAACAGGGGAAATGAAAAAGCCAATTTGTTCTTCTTGAACCAAAGTTTAATCAAAACTCATTAAAAGACATTGTAAGAATGCACTGCCACATGAAAGTATGGCAAATACTCCCCTTACCTAACATCTAAGTGAGCTTCCCCAGAGCTGTAGCAAAACATAGCAGTGCAGGACATAGCTCAGTTAAGCCCTTTGTAAATTGAAGTATGACATGCTGTGACGTAAAGCACCATGCGTCCCACTCTTTAAACCACTGGGATATACTTCTGTATGTGCATTATAAACAAACACCTCAAAACACTTCTCATTTGTTTACCCCAGCAAGAATTATCACATTCAACAGACTTAACCACACCAGTCTTGAAACTTCTGAGCAGTAGTGTAAAACTGTCCTGTTCCTTAGTGATAATTCAATTCATCCCATTTTGCTAAGCAATTCCAAAATGAACTTCAAGTAACATTTATTAACCAAATGCTTCAGACTTAAATCAGTTGGATTAAGAGGTGTGGTGCTTTTTTTCTACAAACCTCAACTGTTTAAGCTATCAAACTACAAAGGCAAATGACTTTTTAACCAAAAAAAGACAAGAAAAAAAAATCTGAAATGAGTAGAAGGTCGCATTAAATAACTTATTTCTATTTAATTTTAACCACTTGAAGCATTTTTAAATAATCCACTCAGTCATAACTAGGAGCACAGACAGCTGTTTCTAGCTCTGACACTGTAAATAAAGCATTGCTGAACACTAGCAAAAGACAACAGGAATACAGGCACAAGGAAGACAGGACTGCTTAAAGTTTACATTCCCTTGGTTAGTGTTGCAAGCCAGTGAGAATGACTACAAACCAGAATTAAAGACAAACAGAAAAACAAAATAGTTTGATACTGAGTCGAGAAAAAAATGTTTTGAAAACACAAAAGGAAAAGGTGCTTTGCAAAATACTGGTATCAGACCAAAAAAGGTAAATTTCCCAAAGTGTGCATTTTGTCCCTAAATCTGAAAGGGAAGATCCAGAAGATGAATCAGTAAAAGTGAATCTATTTAACCTTAGCAGGAATGGTCTTAGAGCTTCAACAAAGTACTCGCGTTGATATTACTCTTTGGTAGCGTTTCTCAGAGCTAACTCCAGTTTAATTAACTGTGTGTTGAAAAATCTGGAAGTAGAGACTCTCCTTTTGCATGAGTAATATTCTTCTTTACCCTGTATTTTTTCAGCTGACCCCTTACTAACTCAAGAATTGCAACATAGTATAACTAGTATCAATATGAGATTCTGTATGGGTTCAATTAAAGTCAGTCTAAAAGAGGACTGTGGGGAACTTCTGTGTCGCTAGTCAGTATAACTTCCTTAATGCAATACCCCAACTAATTTAAAAGACTAAAACTGTCTTTCCAAACTACTAAGAGTTGAAAATACTGCAAAGCTGGTCTGCACCTAATACTTCCTCTTCCTCAGGCAAATTAAAGAACAAAGATTCCAACTCTGAAACTGAAGATTGGAAGCTCTCACCTTAAGTGTTACTAACTCCCAAATAATTTTGAGGCTGCTCTAATGAAAGAGAGGAACAAGCCAGAAAATTTCACAAGGATGCAGGCATTTTGCTTGAACACCAAGCGTTGTGGGAAATTTCTTATCTAGCATTCTGAACAATGCTGAAAGATACTCCTGTATTTTTCACAGTTTCTTCCTGAGTCAGAGCTGGAAGAGGAAGAACATGAGTCTGAAGAGATGGATCCCTGTATCATGTAATATTTTGCTTGTCTAGCTTGGGGAAGGAAAAAGGAAGATATCACTGAGACGCACAATGCGGTGAATTTCAACTGCCTTCAAAAAACTGGTTTCTGAAGTAGAGCTGAAAGCATCTTTTCCTCTATGAACGTTAAAAGTGGGGAGGGGAAAATAAAAATTTAAAATAATAAAATCACGCACCAGGTTTTAGTATGTCAAGAAAAGGTAATGCAAACATTCTCTATAGAAATGATCATGCAATCATTTCTAAAAATGGTTATAAAAAGTAGCAAAGCATGAAATACGTAGTTGAGAGGACAACTTCATGCAGAATGGGTTTGCACAGTACATACCCAGATAGGATCTCTTGGGAGGTGCTTTGATTTCTTCATCCTTACTATCTGCAGCTACATAAAAAACAGTTGGGGGGAGAAAAAAAAAAAAAAGGAAGGAAAGACAAACAGACTTGTATGATTAAATGCAACAGTGGGTCTTTTAGTTACAGTTTAGTCAGTTAGTACATTTGCTTATAAAAAAATAATAGCCAAAACAAAACATGCCAGAAATTTTAGTCTCCATGCTTTCTGTAAGGCTCCCACCCCATGATGTTAAGATAGGGCCGAGCAATAGGAAGTCCCTTAACAGTCTCAATGCACAACCCAACAGCAATCTACCTAGGGGAAGAAAATGAAGACTTAAAAACAGTGAAACAGGCAGCTTAACTCTTACTTTATACACTTTTCATGATGAGAGAAAACAGGTTGTAACCTCAGCAACATTGAGTGTGTAGATATGTATATATAATCAGCTAAGACAATACAGTTGCCTTGCCTCCTGTGGAAAATGCTGTTTTAAAATAGTTTCAAAAAGCCTGAGCTTAAACCAATCGTATCAAGGACGGAGTAGATCCCATCTGCAACCATTCTGCATGTTAATTTTTTTCACACTAGCCTTCCTCTGCCAGCTGAAAACCATGTATTATGCAAGAGTGCTTTCCGGTGCCAAAACCAGAGCTCTTCAAGGGATCAGAGTGCTATAATAAGACACAAGTTATAAAGCAGGTTAAGACAAGCAGCAGTTGGAAGGAAGACCAAACGGATCAATGACCAGAGGAAATCACCTTCATGTGAAAACAAGAGCCCATGTTTTACTTAAGGAGCCTGAGCTGTACTATAATAAGAAGAGATGACTAAGAGCCCACTCTTAACAAATTATGTCCACTGGTTTTCAGTATAGTTCATACATTCAGGGTGCTCAAAATCTGCCACAATGTCTTGGGCATAACTGAAATTGAATCTTTGTGAGAGAGAGGTGGAAGGGTTATCTGGGGAAACAGAAAGAGGATTCTTCATAAGAGTGTCTGTCTCTCCAAGAATATGAAGAGACTGCCCTGGCCTGCCAACATTTTCAAGAGTGAGGAGGTGTTTTTAGTTGTATCTGCGAGCACCTTGCTTCAGCCTCCTCTTGATTCTCGAGTCAAGACATGGCACATGCACATTTTGCTCTTCAATATTTAACTCTCTAGCATGGTAGCACCATCATGGCCCAGAAATACTACAACACTTTTAACAAAAACAATTACAATAAAAGAAACTACCAATGAACCTTGACCCTTTCTGTACTGAGCCAATAACACAGCATACATATGGCTGCACAGACACCAATTTAAAAGCGGGCAATGAATAAGGAGAGCTGTTGTTACCACAACAATGGTACCAGGAGATCTGCATTAAAGCAGTCAAGATGCAATTAAAGTGGTGTTAAATAAGGGATAAAAGATGAGGAGGTATTGTTCATGTCTGCTGATTTCATCTGAAGACTCTTTAACACAGCTTTCAAAGTATTCATATGCAGGAGAGAGAGCGCTGTTCTGTCAGGGAGGTTTTAAAATAAAGTCGGGGTGTTTTGTTGTTTTGTTGTTTTGCTTGTTTTGTTGTTTGCTTTGGTTTTTTTCCAATTCAGAACAGTTAAAAACAGGCTATACAGTCCACGTTTAAAAAAAATAATAAAACAGTTAGATATATAAAGAGGACTTACTCTGTTTTCAATCAGTACATGTAATTGAAGGTTAAGGTTCATGTATCCAGAACAAAAAGTCAGAGAAGGTAGCAGCAGCACAAGATGGGCTCCACCAATTTCAACTTACTTTCACTTTGCAAGACTAAAAGGGGGGGGAGTGCCATAATTGAGAAGTAACTGAGAGAAAAAAATATTATGAGTTTTCCTAATAAGTTCTCTATGTAGAGCCTAAAAGAAATAATCAAACATCACTGGAAAGCGTCCAGGGAGACTGTATTTTTCATGCTATGATAGTTACCCTATAAATGGAAGGACAAGCATTTTGACTGAATTGCTTTATGTCTATGTTCTGAATTGCTATTGATATGTATTTTAACCCAATAACACCACAAACAGGCTACAGAATACAGAACAAGCTTGTCAGGATTAGGATAGACTGCTCCTTAATGCTTCAAGAAATTTTAAGTAGATTCCTTCTGAACTAGTTACTACTTAAGGGACTTTATTTGTGAGAATAAAAACAAAAGAAAAAAGGCAACTCCCACATAATTCAAAACACACTGGTAAACATATACTAATGTGACTCAGGGGGAAATACCGCATTTAATAGTAATACAAGAAAATGGCAAACTTCCTTCCACAGAAATATTCTATTCTGTTCCCTTCCTAAATATTTTTTATTATTTTGCAGAAACTTTCAGAGGGAGGATAGAAATTAAAGAAGAAAAATGTTTAAATTGAGACCAGCCATCTGAGAAATAATAAATTATATTATCCTGCAGAAATTGTATACTTTTCCCTCAGGATTCTGCAAGGTTAATCAAAAACACTGGCTTCAAACCTAGCTTCTCACTGCCCCGGTAAACTATGAGGAAAGAAAGTAAGTACACAGATTTATCAGCTTGCCTAGATCACCATAAAACTTAAGAGATAAGATTAGGTGTAGGATTAGAAACACGTATCTCACTGTGCTTGAAATACAAACCTATCCTTCTGCCTCGCTTAGAAAGGAGCTTTGTATGCATTTATATGCTTATTCTGAGCCATCGCATTATAGTTGGCCTTACTAAAAACGAATCATAGGTAAGAAAAAGATTTTAGCTGTTCTCAAAGCTTGTGGGAGGATGCAAGCCTTTCAATGAAAACAAATAATTAAGGTCCACAAGTAGGTAAAATCAGTTTCTCTAGCTAATTAAACCCATGAGTTTCAGAAAAAAGGATCAAATGGCACAATGCAACCTTGAGGAGTTTCCATTACCTGGTAAGTGAAAGACTGATTATCCCTTAGGAGACTGTATGTCTTTCAGGGAGAGTTGTTTGAAGAGGGCTATATACTAAACTGAATAGCCTCCCTTTTTGTCCAAAGGTTACCGAAGGAGTCTGCAAGACTGCGTCTGTGTGTGTAAATGTGCACGAGGATAATTTCCCCTCAGAAAGGGTAAACAGAGAAACCTTTCTGCCACTTCACAAAACGCCAGCACAGAGAGCAAAGGAGGGAGAGAGCATACATGCCCCTCCCAAATGCTTCCTGGATTTTAACTGCTGCTAAATCTGACTGAAAGTAGTTTTAAAGTCATTCATCCTGCCAGATTAACAACCCTTGTGAACACAGCAGCTTGTGTTTGGGAGCTGGAGTGCAGCTGCTCTTCCACATGAACTCACTTACCTGAATAGTTTCACACTACACTCCACAATGAGCAGGAATGGAAGTAGCTTCCTCAGCTATTAGATAAATTAGCCTACTGCACAGCCAATAGCTGCTGCCTTCTACTGACGGCTGTGGATATCTGGAACTGGATCAGACCCTCAATTATTAGGGAGTGAGGGAAGAGAACAGATGGAGAGAATAAATCCTAAATCCATATTGGCAAAACAACTGACAAAAAGCTGACAGCATTAATTCTGTTCTCGTTGGTAATAAGCTGTAACATAAAATGTTGTAAGTCAAAGTCAACACAGAGAAACACAAAACCTACCCCTCTCACAATTCTTATCTGGGGAAAAAAAAGCAGGGACTCTCCACAAAGCTTGAACATTTCATTAAATGAACAATAATACTCTGGCCCTGACCAAAATTATCAATGCCTCAAAATTAACAAATAACCAAAATAAAAAATATGTGAAAATTCCCACAAATCCCAACTAATCCCACACTAAAGCCCAACGAAATGGTATACAAAAAGACATAGTTTTGCGGCTATGATATGACAGCACCTCCTATTTTGAACAGCCAATAACTCAGTAAGTAGAAAATAAGTTATGTACAAAAGCAAGTGTTTGCAATTGCAAAATAAAATTTCAGATAATATTGTATGATCATACCTAAGAACTTGGTAGAAAGTACCGCTGAAGAAAATAACTTCTTATTCTGGCCAAAATCTTAAAAAAAATCCAGGCTAGCACAATGGCATAACAGCCAGCTCTATATTCAGGGCGTGGTGTGAAATATTAAGGAGAACTCTGATTTCTACACTGAACCAAGACCTGTCTGAAATAAAATGACAGTTTTATATATTAATCTGGAAAAAAGCAGTTTCAAAAAAAGTTCAGGAAATGCTACGCTGAAGTAAGCAGAAAGGAGACTGGATTGCAATTCAGACAGAACTTTTGTCCAAAATACAGCGCACCATGCTTTCAAAAAGATTTATCCTGCAAAAGCCAGTTCCTGTCACTAACCTGCAAAAGAGCGGCGTTTTATGTTTAGCTCGTTGGACACACGTACTTCAGTGCACAGTTTCAGCATCAGTAACATAGTAATGATCATGATAATGCTTTGCCACAAAAGAGGGGATTCAAAACGCCTTCCAAACCTAAAAAAAAAAAAAAAAGGAAAAGAAAATATATAAAACATCTCAAAGGTGACACGTGTTGTACTCAGTTACTTTCATTCTTTGATCCTATCTAAGCACCTGAAAAAGGAAATCCTAACTGTAACAGGTGTGAAAGGCTCAGGAAGAGAAAGTCACCAGCCAAATTTAGATGCACATACAGTAGATCAGAGTCACAATCCCCTTGCGGGAGTATCCAAGAACCTTATTACAACATCGCTGTGGACTGATCCTAGAAATTCTGAAGCCAGAAGCTTAAGTCTTTGTTTCCAAAGCCAGCAGCAAACCTATTATTTTGAAAGGAGAAGATTCATTGAGCAGTCAAGGCAGTACAGAGACCAGAAAGTTATGCCGCATAAATAACCAGTTATGTGTTCTCTCCACATACACACTCTGTAGATTTCACAAGGACTTCTGTGCAAAACTTACCTTTCTCAATTTTCCATTTTTAAGGTGAAGTCATAAAAACAATAGCACTTGTCCTATAAAGAAATAAGTACCCGCAGCTACTAGCTTGCTACATTTAATGTAATGTCTTCCAGGGGCGGGGGGGACAGGGGGGACAGGGGGGCTGCAGTTTATGCCTTGTCTGCCTCTAGACATCTGAGTGGAAAGACCAGGTCTGCAGAACACACCAACCAGTTCATCAATTTGTGCCTAATTTGGACCAAGGTTGGGGGAAGTAAGGAAGTCCAAAAGATGTGCGAACCAAACATACGTGATTTGTCCTCTCCTGCCCCCCCCCTTCCCCCACTTTAATTTCTGCTCGTTCACAGATGATGCTTGGTGGGAACCACTGAGCCCTTCCTGCACATACCACAGAGGTGATCTTGGATTGTGGCCAATCTTGACTGAAGAGCTTACTCTTATGTGATTGCACGAGGTTCTGCCATAGGAAAATGAGACCCTTCAGTGAAGACAGGTGATGCTCCGAGCTCCTCTTCCTACATTACTTGATGAAAGATCAGCAATCCCCACCAGACAGACTCAGTAAGTACATTAGAGGTAAAGGGTGGAGGTTTTCATATGCAGCCCTCAAAGGATATTAGATTTACAACACGAAGGCTGCACATCATGGTGAGCTGCTTCTCTGTGCTCAGTTCTGCCAGTTTTTACACCTTGAAGACAGGGATGCTGAGGAAAGGATTTGGTGAAAACACATTGCTATGCTCCCCAACTCCTTCAGCCTGCACCGTGAGGCATACAGGCTTTCTAATTTTCCTCGCAGCACAGTTACTAAGGCAATTCTCCGAACACATCGTGCTACCCGAGATCTCAGCCTCACAGGCATGACAACCATTGCCCTCTTCTTGACAGCTCCTGTTTTATAGCACCCTGGCAAAATACAATTTCTTATGCTTGGGCTACTTTCATGGCCAAGCTCCATGTTAGTAAAAACCAACTAGGTTCACCATCACACTCTCTCACACAATACTGCATTTCCACTATAGCCATTTCACCAGAGAGATATTTTTTGTTATGAGTCAACTAATAAGGAACAGGAGAGAGACTGGAAAGTCCTTAACTAGCTTCCTTGGAAATCTTCCTGCGCAGAACAGCCAAGCAGCCCACACAAACGAAAATGGCCAAGTATTTCCTGCCTAACGACATACAGCTAAGGAAAAGTACAACGCCTTGAGCCTCCACACCACTGCCAAAGACACCACCAGTAGCTACTGGAAGAATAGCAGTTCCATGTACCTTAGTCCCCCTCTTCTTTTTAGCATCGACAGATTTGTGGTGGGCCACATGACAGCCATTATCGTAACAAATTTGGAGGACACTCTGAGGCAGGAAATAAAGAACACAACTGATGCATGTAGTCATAGGCAGAGTGCACTCTGGATAAGGCCTTCACTGCACCAGGAGAAAATGCAGGGCAGAAAAACAAAAGTTTGGCCCAGCCTACGCCTGATGTCCCTGATCATTCAGCCTGTGTTGCTGACCATGGCCAAGTTCCCCTGACCTACTGGAATTCACTACTGTTACATTTGTCTCTTATTCAAGGAATGAGAAAAAAAAATGTGAAAGACTTACTCAGAATTACAGAGCAGTTAAAACTGCTTACATCAGGTTTAGAAAAACATCTCCAATTACAAATGCATTTTCATGTGAAAATATAGTAATGCATTTTAGAGGGGCTGAGCTAGCAGCACAATAAACTAGAAGCTATTATGATGGTAAAACCAGCCACAGGTCACTGCAAAGTTAGTTTCTCCCTGCTGATGAGACTATTGGCCATTCAGTAATGGATGCCTCAAAAAAGTATTGCTTGCAGTATAAACATCCACCCACTACAAACACACCTAAGCCTGCACACCTGCTGTCTGATCATAACAATTTGCCATCACCACAGCCTTACTGGAAATGAAGCTGGAAGTATTGCTGCAGATCCTCAACCCCTTAAAAACTGGGGGGGGGGGGGGGTAGGTAAAACAAAACTCACAACACAGGAGAGGTGAACTGGAAATTTAAAAATTCTTGTAGGGACTTCAAGCAATGCACAACACCTGTAGATTTTTTTTACAACCCTCCAGCCAAAGACAACAAAGGTTACACAACAAAACATACTTATGGGAAATACATCTCCTCAAACACCAATCCCCAAATTGAGTCTCACAGGCAACACAACCCTCTAAGCTAGGTCACATCTACAGGAAACCAAACAGCTACCACAGAGACCAAGAGGCAGAGCAAACAGGACATGGCCTCCACCACACTACCTGGACAACAAGACTGAAGAGAATAGCAGTGTCAAGGACCACTGTCGGGTTCTTGAAGCTTTAAAAGCAAAGCCAGAACACTCATTCTGCTCAGGATGACTGAAACAAACACCACTCCAACCTGCTTACTCTACTTCGCACTGATATTAGGGCCTGCCAAATCAACACTAATCCAGTTTAAGACTCCCCAAGCCAGCTTGAGCTAGGAGCACAGCAAGATGTGAGCCCTGCAGGGAGAGCGTGCTGTTCCATGTTCTGTTTACTTTCTGCCTCACAGACGTTTTTCCTATCTTTGCCTAAGCAGGAGCCGGGAGGGGAGGAACATCAGATTATGAGAGGAAGATGAAGAGCCTTAGGATACTAGAACAGGCTCGCAGAAAAGAACAACTCTGAAGTCCTGGGGATGAGGGGGTCACCATCATTATTCTGCATTTTCACCCCACTACTACAATGTTATGTGACAAAGTGAACAACAGTGACATTTGCAGTATTCGAGGAACTCAGACTTCATATGTCAGCCTACAAAGAGACAAAGAGCTTTTCACTGTTTACTTAATACTGTAAAAACAAAAGAACTCTTTCTTTTTCTTGTGCTAGTCAAACGTGCCAATAAAGGGGTGGAGGTGCTTACATTTGTTAGTGTTTCAACAGCCTTAAAACGATTAATGCATGTTCGAGGTGATAAAGACATGAGAAGTGCACATTCAAGCCAGAGGAGAGACTAACTAGTCATTGAGCAAACTACATCATTCCATGGGTAAAACTCAATCCTGTTGCAGTAGTCTTGCTATTCCAGCCCTGGGCCTACTCAAAACAGCAAATGCCAATTGTGCAAAAGAAGCCCAAACTAGACCAAACACAAAAGGTTTGCTTATCTCTTTTCCTAAGACAGCTCTGAAAAGAAACCGACTGCTGTTGGTGCAACCAGATCACCATCACCCTGACCGCCCCGTTTCCTCCCACGCTGCTGGATGCCATTCCAGCTTCCACCCGTTGGCTGCCGTCCCAGGCGGACTCCCGTCTGTGGCAGGGACTCCGTCCCGTCCTCTGCCCGTACGCTGGCAGGGCTAACACGGCACCGCTTCAGCTCACAGAGCCGGTTCCGCTCTCCGCAGGAGCGGAAACCACCGAAGTTCCTACAGACCTCACTGCTCTGGGTCCACTTTTTCAGCACTTTGGGAAGTTACAGGTGCTAGGGAACACGCACCACCGGGGCCACAACAGGTAGCCCAGGGTAGCTGTCTTGAAAGACATCCCATACAATTACAGAATTTAATCAGCAGGAAGAACAAGAAACAAACTAGTGTTACAACAGGACCTCTTGATACAAGTTTCTCCTTGACACCTAAACTTCCAGGACTTTATGGAGCACCCGAAACAAGCTTCTCATGTGGGCATACAAAATCCTGCTTTACCTTTACTTTTTGTACAAAAGAGCAGTGCATTTTATCCTTGCTCTCTGGCATTTATAAGAAGGAGGAGGAATTGCGTAACTCTCTTGCTCTCAATATCTGAGCAAGATTCCACCAGCAGGCCATATGTACCGCAATCTTTCAAAGTTGTAGTCACTCTGTCAGCTTGGTTGACAGCATCATCCCACCTTCCCCACATGGTAAAAGCTGGCAAGATTCATTTTAGTAACAGAAGTCTTAAAAGCAAAAGTTTCTCCTTCCCACAGGAAGTCCTACAAACAGGCACCACTGGCCCACCACCTGAAGCCAGAGCAACAGCTGACAGCAGGACCCGATCCACAAGTAGCACTGTATATGTTACAGCAAAATAAATAAATATGTAGGAATCTACCCCAGACAACAAAAAGTCCATTTTCCTATAAATTACCTCCAGCTGCCTACATGTCTCAGTAAACCTCTATTCGTAATAGGGAGCTTATTCCACTGACTCCAGCACAGAGAGCTCCCAGTTCTACTGCCATTACAGTCTTCAGAACCTGCTTTGTTTCAGGTGAACTGATGTGGAATGCGTAGAGGGTTACCTTTGCTCAAAAATAACAGACTCCATAGTTTTCACCTCTTCCCTGATTGTCTGAACTTGTTTCCACAGTTTGTCTTAAGGCAACTATTTTGTGAGAACAACTCCAAAATTGGACAGCTTTATTTTCTGTTGTTTGGATTTCTATGGTGTTGCTGTATGAGATTTAGACCAGTGGCCCACAGAATTGCATCTCAAAACCTTTGGAAAGAATATTGTCTTCCTAGAAAATATACAAACCATATTATACTACTACATAAAACATTTTACGGACTGCAAAACTGACAAAAAGTCCAAAAGCCTCTGGGAATAGCAGGGAGCATAAATACTTTTGGCTGAACTTACTCAAGATACAAATAAAAATGCCTACTGCTGACTTCTAAGAAATCTGCAGTTCCCTTTCATCTAGCTATTTATTCTGATTTTAATAGTAAAAGAAACTATAATTTATCTCATCATAAGCTCTGGTTTTTTTTAAAAAAAAAAGGGGGGGAAGAGAGAGAAGGGGAAGAGAGGGAGAACTCACAAGTAAGTTTTTCTGCATCCTCCACCCCCAACTGATTACACAACTCTCGCCCACCTTCTTGTTCCTGTTTTGATCATGACAATGCAAAGCTAATCAGCTGGCAGACTGCAGGCCACGTGAACCAAGAAGATATGTCCGTCTTGGCTGCAACTGAGTTCAAGTGCCACGGTCCACTCTGAAGCCGGCCCACTACTTCAAACCAGCCTAGGACAGCTTAACCATACGATTGACCACCTCAGAGCTCAAGCATCAGTAAGACTCGTGGTATCCCTTCAATATTTTAAGCAGTCTTGAACAAGAAATCAAAGCTAACTCTAGCAAGCATAGTAAGACATTAGCTAACAAAAATGTTAATGAAATGTCTTACTAAAAATGCAGAGGGGAAGAAAATTGCTATCAGATTTTTTTGGAGCATGCCAAGCATCTTCATATGTACCAGAATTACAAAGGCGTTGACTTTTGCACCGTCTCTTCCTCTTTACCCACAGCGCAGACCTTCTCCAGGCTGATCAGTCCAGAAGTTGAACCGAGTGGAGAGTGAGAAACAACAACCTATGGCGTCTGGAGAAGACAGACAGGAGAAGCAGTACGGACGATGGCAGAAGGACTAGAACAAAGGAGTAGCTGATACCAATCATAAATCACAACCAACAGCTACACTGCCACCCCAAAATAAATGCTGCTTTGAAGTGTTACATAAAATTACAACAATAGATTATTATTAAAGTAAAGCTAACTTGATATCAAGTCTAGTCACAGCACAAAATCTGCTTTTCACACTGGTAAGCAGAAACCCCATTGTGTGATGCTGTGAGCACAGACTGTCTACTTTTCAAAAAGTTTTTTTTTTTGTCAGAATCCTCTTTAAAAGGGCCAAAGACTTCACATACAGTCAACACACTGAATCACAAGTTTGCATGGTCAAACTTCTACTTTCTTTTTCCTCAACAAAAGCCATGTGTGCATAAACAAAACAAAGTGGAATCATGCCTGTTGCTATCCATATACAGTTTTCATTCTTGCAGACCAGACCTCTCCCACTGCTTTTCCACACAGTTCTGGCATATTGTTGGAACAGAGCAAGGCCAAACACACATAAGTGAAAGCAGAAATGTCTCTTTAAAGATGACATTTTGAGACATTGTGAAACAGAGAAGCGTGAAAAATGGCTTAATAGATAATGTGTTACTGTCATCACTAGCAAACAGAAGTTCTTTGAGCACACCCTTAAACTAAGGGATTAGGTGGGAGGAAGACAAGGAGGAGAGGCATTGCACTGAGTCCTCCTGACTTTAAAAGACGGCTTACCATTGGAGACAGTCTTATTGGAGGAAGAGAAACTGTGAAAACAGGTAACTGGAAACAGGATTGCTGTCCTTAATCTCAGTAGTATTTTGTTCATTGGCTACTGTCACAGTGCAATACACCAGCTGCAACTCTATTGACACATAAAACATGCCAAGAAGATTAGGAAGTAAATACTCTATTTGGAGGGGAGACAAAGGTCAAACTTCACCCACTGCAAAACCAAATGTCAAAAAAAAAAAAAAAAAGGAAAAAAACCCTCAGAGATAACTAAGTACAGTTCTACGAACACATGGAATCTGCCAATTCACAAAGAGGAAATGAGGGAATTGCCCCCACAGCTGAGGTGAACAAAGTATAGTAGAGCCATAGGGGAGTAGGGGGACTGGGTCTGTTTTGAGTGACAGAGATACAGAAAGGCCAGCACTACTCAAGAGTGAAAATACAGAGGAAACATGGCATAAAAGGCAGGAACTGTCTCTTCCTGTTGCCTATGCACCTGAAACAGGTAATATTCCACTCTGTGAGCCTCAAATTCAAGAATATATGAAATTCAGGGAAAATCTGGAAGTAACAACAGAAACGAATTACAGAAATGTCTTTGAAGTTAAAAGAAAAAAAAAAACAAAACAAAAAAACCAAAAACCAACCATGAGCCATCCTAAGAAACAATTAAGGCCTGAAAAGCAACACTGACAGTTTTTTAAGGCCTATCACTTTACATACTTATTTTTGGAGCAGGGTGGAGGGGAAGTCAGGAGGGATGAATCTGGCACAAATCATATGCTTAATAACCAGGGGTAATGAAGAGAAACTAAAAACAATTGAAAACAGCAGCTATATGTCAGTAAAGTTTTCAGAAGAGAGACTTGGAGTAAGGCCTGGGCTGGTGTGCTAAAGGGAAGGAGGAGTAATCTTACCAACTGGTACACTGAAAGTCAGATTGGGGAAAAATTATACACAAAACAAAACTACTTGTAGGAGCAGTTCTGTTCCGGCACAAGAATGGATCAAATTACTTAATAAATTTAAAACAAAATAAACAAAAACCTTCCAATTCCCTCTAATGAATACTACATACACAATTAAAATAATTCTGCTGTTTATGTAAAATTATTTGGAGTGCTGTGTCCCAGATAATACATCAGCCATAGGTGACATTAAACAACTAACGCAAAAATTGAACTGCCAAGCTGCTCCATGGCTGCATTTTAAACACGTTCACAGAAATCAGAGGCTCTTGCTCTGCTATCTTCCTTTAATCATCCATATGCCCAATGATAATATCCACCCTCAATGCTGCTTTCATGACTTACTGGTGTTAATAACGAACTACCAGGGATGCCTAACCTTTGTAAGTAGAGAAGCAAAATATTCTCTCTCAGGGAACACTGAATTATCATTATGCAAGTCTTCTTTTCTGTCTTTTAGTTCAACAGAACTAGAAAGAGAGGATTCATTGTAAGTACAGACAGAAAGGTTTCTGCAGGCTCATGCCTGCAACCCATCCCCATAGAAGCGGCTGCACCACAAGCCAGCAGCATGCCCTACACTCCCGCTGTAGCCAGACACACCTATGCACATGCTGTGTGAAGCCATTCCGTGCCATCACCGACCTCCAAGATGACCAGGCCCTACACAGAGCTAGTATGTGTCAGGGTTGGGGAGTGATAACTACTATGTGGCTTAAATACTCACAGTAAAAAACTACATAATCTTATCAACGTAACTGCATTCTCTCTCTTTTGAGGTGTTGACAAATCTTTTAACATTGACATAAATCACAATTTTTCATTACTCGTAGTACTTATTCTTCTGCACATCTCCTAACTAGATATACTTAAAATCAATTCAAATTAAAGAGCTTTCAGTTCTTCCATAGTCCAAGTCTCATTTAACAGATGTGCTCGCCTGGGTTACCTAGAAACTGCCAGCATCTCCATTCAGGTGCAAGTCATTTGTACATTTCAACTACCTCCAGTTAAACAAAAAATTAGACAATTTCTGTTTCTCAAACTGTCAACTCGGGCTTTTCACTTCTCCTCCCCCCTGCCTGTTCTACTTCCCTTCTGCTCTCTGCTTTCTCCAACAGCTGCTCCATATACTTCTCCCCAGGAAAACATAGGTCCAATGCAACAAGTAGCTCTGATCTAGTGATGACCCCTCAGTTTGACTGCCAGCTCTGGTGCCAAGAGAGGGTCCCTCGTTTTCTCCACTCCACCACAGCACTTACATGTTACATTTTGCTGTGGAAGAATCCGGGAATCTCCTTATACTTAAAGAGTCAGAGGAGCTTTAAAAAGAAACTGGAAACCAACCGAAGGATGTAGGCTGCTGCCTATCAGTTCTTTGTGGACTACAAAGCAGTATTTTGTAGTCAAAATATTCTTGAACTGTTCTTAGTTGCAGTAATTTCCCAGACTATTTCATCTTTGGTTTCTCAAGTACATTCCCAGTGTTGTAGCATCTATATTATACGAAGCAATGAGGAATGCAAGTTACTAAAATTCATTCACAGCAATCATGCCCTAATAACATTTTCTTTGTCCAGCAGCACAAGACCTAAATATGGAAACAAACTTGCTTTAAAATATTTAAAGTGGTGCTGAAAACAAAAAGCATCTGCTTTGAAAGGTAGCCCACCTATCAAAGAACTAATCACAGAATTATCAAAGAATGAATTATCAAAGAATGAATATTTTCATCTGTAGTTGTGCATGGAGCTCTAAAAGTGAGCCCCCTCTGAAGCCAGTCGGCATCCCGGGAAAATGCAAGAACATATGGCAAGTGTCCCAGTGATGTTAATACCAACTAGATGCTAGAGTAAGCGTGTAGGACTGGGGCCTTCACTCTGAGAACGGTGCTAGAGGGGCAAGCGAAATGTAATACAGTCAGCAAGAAAAAGAGATCTGACTTAGAATAAACCTCTTTTCTTTACCAGCGAGTTAAAAAGTTGCATCTCGGGACATCAGAGCACTGATAATCAGATCTGGCAAGGGTAACAGACAGCGCTCCCGAGCCCAGTTCACTTCACGCGATGCAGATTCGCCTGCTTGCAGAAAGAGTATGCTGGTCTTCAACAGAGGGGAAAAAGCACGCAAAACGTATTACTTCCTCAAATATTCTGAATCAAAGCTTTACAACCAGCAAGCAAGCAAGAACCTTTAGGACCGGGCAGGCACAGCACGCACGCCAAACCAACTTACCAAAAAAGTATCCGCAAAATGTTCGCGACCAGCAACACCAGGCAGACGTAGGTGGAAAAGCCCTCGGCGTTCTGCGTCCGGCGGATGTCCCTGTACTGGGGAATGTAGGGCACCACGCCGCCGAACACCATGGCCCCCGCCGCACCCCACGACACCAGCTGCTGCATGGGGACCAGCAGCCACTCCAACCCACTCGCCTCCATGACGGGGAGCGATGGCGTGGGGAAGAAGGGCTGCCCCGGGGGGGGCGGTGAGGCTGAGGGATCGCCTTCCGCTGCAAGTTCTCCCGGCGGAGGGAAGGGCGGCTTTAGCCACGCAGGGGCTCCTGGACGGGATGCGGCACCACGACTGCGCCCGCTCTCGCCGGGCCGGCACCTGGGGACAGCGACGGGGCGTCAGCCTGGCTCCGCCGCCGGCCACCATCGAAACCTAAACCGCAACAACCCCCCCCACCTCCCCCAGCCCGGCGCGACCCTCCCGCCCTCACACGGGGAAGGGAGGAACCCCGGCTCCGGCGGG